TGGGAGAATTTGTAATTGGACTGAAGTGAGTTGTTTCCTTTTCCTTGAAAAGATTCTTTCCCGTGCTCTCAGCTTTGGTGGTTGGTCCCTTGGCTGACAGAGGCTGGTTCCCTTCCACTGTCATCCTGCCCTCCCACTCAGACTCAAGCGGCCTCCACCAGCATAGTCCTAGACCCCTGAACGCCCTGAAAGCTGGTCGGTGGATCCTGAGGGAAGGCCAGGTCCTAGCCGTCCTGCATCCAGTCCAAGCCCACACTGCCACCTGCTGGCTGCCTGCTGTCAGTGCTCAAAGCAAACACGTCGGGCCCCTGGAGAGGAGCACTTCCCTTCTCCCACTTCCAAATCTACTGACCGCGGACATTAGCAGTTGGAGACAGGACTTGATTGGGTTTTGAGCTGGTCTGCCACCTTTGCAATGTTCCATGAGGTTTAACCATTCAAGCATTCCATTTTCAGGAGTCCCTCCTGCTCATCAGTTTCTCTCTCTGGGCACAACAGCCTGATGCCCTAAGTAAGCCCATCTCCCCGTATGCAAAATAATTATTCCTCGGTCTGAAACACCACTGTGGTGCCTCGGGTGCCACTCCGTGCTCTGGGGCCCTCTCCCTGGGAACGAATGTAGCGGCCCTCATGGTGATGGTGTCCAGTCCCGTGCTGACTCCAACCTGAACCACCCCACACCAACACCCGGTTCCAACAACACACAGGATCCCCCTGGATGGGGTGGGCTTGGCATTTCCTGCCTCCCCCCATCCATGACACAGCCCATGTCCACATACAGTGCCACATGCAATGTCCTTCTGCACACTCCTACAAGGAAACTAGCCCCCTCTCTCTGCCAGGGCCTGAGAGCCAAAGAGCACACCCCAGGCAGTGGGCTCAGCCTGGGGCTCATTAGGGCCCCAGTGAGATCGGAGGTGACAATTCTCAGGATGGCAGGAACAGGAGGGGGCAGCACCAGACCCTGGGACAGGAGGAGGGTGCAAGGGATTGATGAGGAAGGTGACCCGGGAAGCACCAAAAGCAAGGGGGCCGTGAAACAAGGAAGGGAAGGAAGCCAATTCAGGGTGTTGTAGTCATGCGGGTCCCCTTCCAAGGGGCACGAAGTGGAGAGCACACCTCACAGCCCCCTGCCAGGAAGAGGGGGTGGATTTCTCCCACTGGCTCTCAGACTCTCAAGGGTCACTGTTTGAGGCCACCCTTCAGAGAACATTAGCCCTGCCCCCCTGTGCAGCTGAGCAGACTTCTCTGGCCAGAGAAAGTCTTCAGACAGGGGGGTTGCAGCTGCTGGCAGATAAAGTCCTCTCCATGGTCAGCATGGTCTGCCACTGTGCCAGTACCTATGGGCACAGTGCGTTCCAGGGTCTCGGACAGGGCGTCAACAACATCTGCCTCACGTGCACAGCAGAAACCTCCAGACAGAGGAAGGACCGTCGATACAACGTATGGCTGCCCGCAGCTGCTCCTTGGGACACCGACCGGCTCCACCTGGCCAAGCCCACCTGCACATATACACCCAGGGCTCTCTCACACCAAGTTCCTCGCGACACCCTCAGACACACGCCCACGTGGAGCATCACTCAGCTCCCACTACGCTTGCGCAGGTGGCTTTGGGGCACACACACTAGTGCCCCCACACTCAGAGCTCACACCCTCCAGGGTCCCACATGCACACTCCAAGGCCACCCACTCAATTCAGGCATCACCGCTGGTGTCCACCTGATGACTGACCAGGTTGTGGGCCACGAACCGTGGAAGGACAGGCAGCTTCGATGCGTGAGACGGCAAATCTTCTGTCGTGGGCTCTGCTCTGCTTGACCTCACGCTGAACCTCTCAGGCCAGGTGAACTCTCTCAGTCAGAGCCAATTACCGGGGTCAGGCCGGTATTTCCGGGCTGCAGCAGGCTGGGCACGCCCTTGCCCCCAGGGTCACAGCCCAGCTGCGCCTGCTCAGCGTCTCTCCTAGGAATCCCGGGGCTCCAGGCGCCCAGGCCCAATGGTCACAGCCCCAGCCATGCCACACTGACTCCCCACCCGCCTGACCCCTGTGGTCCTGGGGCCGCCCAGCCTTCTGCTCCTTAGCTTGTGGCTGCCTGATCCATGACCCACCACAAAACTGGCACTACTTGGATTACAGGGTAAAAGAAGGCGGCTTTGGGGGAACCCTCCACCCCCCGGCAAGCTCTGAGCACTGTCACCCACCCCCGTGACTCACTGCAAGAGACAGAAACCCAATTTGAAACTTCTTAAGCAAGAAAAGATATTTATTGGCTCACAGAACGAAATTGTCTAAGTGACAATTCTGACTTCAGGCATGGCCAGATCCAGGCAGTCCAAGAATATGGGCAGGTGTATTGTCTCTCTTGGTTCTGCTGCCCACCTTCATCCTCCCACAGGAGCAGTGGCTGTGGGCACCCCAAGTCTATGTTGGCAGGCTCATGATCCAGCCTCAAGGGTTATCTTACTGCCGGGCTCCGACATCTCCCCCTCCCCAGCCCTTCCCTTGCTGGACTGTTCCTGCATGTCTGAACCATCCTTGCCAGACTGGGGGCCCAGGGTCAGGATTCAAGCTGGTTCTTCTCTGGGTGGTGGGCCCCGGGTGGGGGGAGGTGGCGGTTTGTGGAGTGGACAACTAGCGAGAATATTCAGTTCAATTCTGATGGAAACAGATTCCTCCCTGTGTTTCACGGCCTTGAGGACAGTAAGTACAGCAGTCCAGACCTGGGAGCCCCAGACCAGACAGCACCCACCCCTGTTCTCCCCGTGGCCTCTGAGCTGCTAGGCTTGGCGGGGGATTTGGGAGGCTCTGGGCAGCAGGGACAGCTCTGAGGGAAGGCTAGGTGCTAGGACCCAGGATGCTTGGCTGCCCCCTCTTCTGTCATCAGCTCACCGTGTGACCTTCGGCCAGATCCTTTCCTTCTCTGGGCCTCAGGACCAGCCCCCCAACATATCCCCAGTGTTCCCCTCACCTCCCTCTGCCCCCTGCATTGTCACCAAAGTTAGTCACCCTGGCAGGCAGAGAAAGCAGGTTCTCACTAAGCCAGTTTCTCTCCGAGGGCCCAGAAAGTGTGAACACAAAGCCCACAGTTCAAGAGGCTACAGAGGCCCAGTGGGGAGGAAGCAGGCACTGGAGGAGCTGAGCTGACCCCAGCACCGAGAGCACAGGGAGGGGAATGGTTCCAGGCACCCTGCCCAGCTTCCCCCATCGTGATATCGGTCCACCCTGGAGAGACAGTTCACAGGCACGATGGGTTCCCTGAGAACCGAGGAGCAAGATGTCCAGAAAGTGTGAAGTAGTTACATCAATAAGTAACTAACACACGGTGTAGGTGTGGTGGCGGAGATTAAATTGTGTGTACCAAGTTGTTACACTTTGGCTATGAATAGGAAAAAAGATACAAACTGTTTTATACACACACACACACCACCACCACCACCTTCCTTGGCCTGGTGACTGCCTCTTCAGCACAACTCGGTGGCCTGCAACTCTGTATATCCCCCTCCCCCAAATCTTCCATTTCCATTCAATGTTCTTACAAATCTTTGGTATCAAGGAAAAAGCATGGCCTTGGGTTTCAGATAGTTTGGGTGTGGTAAACTATGTCCTCCAAAGGTGTCCAGGCCTGAATCCCCAGAACCTGGGAATATGTTACCTTCCGTGGCAAAGACACTTCTCAGGTGTGATTAAGGACCTTGAAATGAGGCGATTAGCCTGGGTCATCCAGGTGGGCCCAATGTGATCACAAGGGTCCTCACCAGAGGGAGGCCACAGGGTCAAAGTCAGAGAAGATATGATGAACTGAAGCAGCAGGAAGAGAGAAATGAGAGATTTACACCCACTACATTCCAGAATGGAATGTAGCGGGGTCCATTTTCAAGCAGTACTCCAATTGGGAAATGACTTCCCAACCACAGGGACAGGAATCGCCCTGGCCACTGAGCTCAGCAAAGACTGCAGGAGGCAGGGGAGCTAGAGACAGGAAGCAGAGAGCTCCCAGATGTGGTGAGCCCAGGTCTCAGGCAGGTCCAAGGCCAAGAACAAGGCAGATGCCCTTCCCGGTGACTGGAGGGCCAGGAGGCCAGCAGAGTCACAAAGCAACCTGAGGATCAAGAATGCTCGGCTGTGCAGAGAGCGTGGGTGGCTCAGTCGGTTGAACATCCAACTGCGGCTCAGGTCATGATCTCGCACGCAGTTCATGAGTTTGAGCCCCTGTGCTGACAGCTCGGAGCCTGGAGCCTGCTTCAGACTCTGTGTCTCCCTCTCTCTCTGTACCTACCCCCGCTTACATTCTGTCTCTCTCTCTCAAAAATGAATGAACATTAAAAC